ATTCTCTACGATTTCATAAGAAAAAATAACAAATTTTTTTTTTTAAAATTCTTGGACACTGGTGCGTGACTCCAGATTTGGGCCTTGGACCCTGAAAGGGTTAATAGCCACTAAAATTGTAAATACTTACACCCTTGAGTATATGGGTATGGTTAAAATGCTTTTCTAAAAAACTCTGCAATCTGTTGTAAATAACAGTAAAGTTATTACTGTAAATAACAGTAAAGTGAAGAGTAGTTAGGGTGCTGGGAAATATGTAACATTTCTAGTAGTCTTGCTTACCACCTTCAGACTTAAGCAATACTTTTTTTTTTACTAGCCGTATCCTGAAGGACACGGCTAGCTTTTGAGAGACTTCGTCTGGAGGTGGGGGTGTTATGGGGCTATGGGACCCAGCACACATTGATGTAAATAAGTAACAGTTACTCTGGAATACCTAATTATATTGAATTGATGGGGACTCAGCTCTAAATGTCACAAGGGCAGACCACAATTATGGCTGTAAGGCAGCCGAGTTGAGCCTGTTTTTTCTCAATATAATAGGTTATACTATAGACACACACACACATAATTTAAATAAGTAGTTTATAAAGTTGTATTTCTTTTGTAAAAGTAAAATTAAGGTGTGGTAAAATTGTGGTAACTAGAGAATTGTGCTTGGCAACAGTCTTTTGTTTTTTGGTGGATGTGAGAGGAGCTTAGCTAGGCCCCTCCCTCCCTCCCTCTCTCTCTTTGTTGACTTGAAGCTGGTAGGACCTCTGGGTCCTTCTTTCTATTTTTTGGGGCATTATTTGTGTCCCAGGGGCGAGTTTTATAACTTAAGTTGTGGCCACCATACCCAGGGTGACTAAAGTGTGTCAAAACACTTTAGTCACCCTGGGCAAAGTTGCTGAGATGCACCATGTGGGAGAGCAGCTAAGGAGTGTGTAGACTTATGTTTTGTGTATTGTATATTCTGTACATATCTATTTAGAATACAGTTATATTTTTTTATAGAGGTAGTTTAAATAACCTGTGAAGAGGGTTGGTGAAAGGATTTCAGAGGTTGAGGTGGCCCGGTGGCCTGGTGGCTAAAGCTCCCGCTTCACACACAGAGGGCCCGGGTTCGATTCCCGGTGGGTGGAAACATTTCGACACGTTTCTTTACACCTGTTGTCCTGTTCACCTAGCAGCAAATAGGTACCTGGCTGTTAGTCGACTGGTGTGGGTCGCATCCTGGGGGACAAGATTAAGGACCCCAATGGAAATAAGTTAGACAGTCCTCGATGACGCACTGACTTTCTTGGGTTATCCTGGGTGGCTAACCCTCCGGGGTTAAAAATCCGAACGAAATCTCTTAATCTTATCAATCATTGATGTAAGTATTACCCTAGACATATAAGGCCTTTATGTAAAAGCTACCCCCACACTAGGACAAGTAGTGCAAACCTTACTATCAAAGTAATAAGGGACAACAACATAACACCAATCAAAATTGTCTCAATTTCTGTAATATGTCTTCCATTCTATAAAATGAGACCAGGAAAACTTGAATACCATCATAAATACCATACAAAAATATAGTGCAAAGTCGCTGTTTTAAACTAAAAACACTGTCAAGTTTTTTTTTCTCATTACACAGTGTGCTGCAGAATTTTTTTTTATACTGCGCACACTGACCACATACACCCATTCTTTCATATGTAGGCCTAGCAGCTTTCTCTCACTAGATTTGAGGGTGCTAGAATTTAGGCATACTAGTACGTCAAAAACCCTGGTGCGTAAGCCGTACTAGTACGTCGGAAACCCTGAAAGGGTTAATAAAGAATCGTTCAGGACCCTGTGCATGGTATACATTAGGCCCATATTGGAGTATACAACACCAGTTTGGAACCGACATCTAGCCAAGCACATAAAGAAACTAGACTGGTCCCAGAGCTACGATGAGAGGTTATGAGAAACTGACCTGATGACATTGGAGGACAGGAGAGAGGGGGGATAAGATAATGACATACAAAATACTGAGAGGAATCGACAAAGTGGACAGAGACAGGGTGTTCCAGAGATGGGACACAGCAACAAGGGGTCACAGTTGGAAGTTTGAAGACAGATGAATCACAGGGATGTTATTATTTCTTCAGTGAAAGAGTTGTTGGCAAGCGGAATAGTCTGGGAAATGATGTAGTGGAGGCAGGATCAGGATCCATACATAGCTTTAAGAAGTATGATAAAGCTCATGGAGTGGGAAGAGTGACCTAGTAGCAGCCAGCAAAGAGGCAGGGCTAGGAGCTGTGAATCAACCCCTGCAACCACAACTAGGGGAATAAGCACACACACACACACACACAGTAGCAACCGGTGAAGAGGCGGGGCCAGGAGCTAAGACTCAACTGCTGCAATCACAAACAGGTGAGTACTTTCTCTCTCTCTCTCTCTCTCTCTCTCTCTCTCTCTCTCTCTCTCTCTCTCTCTCTCTCTCTCTCTCTCTCTCTCTCTCTCTCACTCTCTCACTCTCTCACTC